ACTCTGACGCACGACCGTGGCTGGGTTTCATAGGTAACCACGTGCACAGTCTGGTGTATAACGGAGGCCAGAGAATGTCTCCTGACTAGCCCTGTGCTGAACGTATCAACTCACATTTGGCCAAAGCATCTTCCAGATGGAATCCACTCTTTTCATAGAATCATAGAATAATAGGACTGGAAGGGACCTCGAGAGGTCATCGAGTCCAGCCCCCCGCCCTCAAGGCAGGATCAAGCTCCGTCTACACCATCCCTGACAGATGTCTATCTAACCTGTTCTTAAATATCTCCAGAGAGGGAGATTCCACCACCTCCCTTGGCAATTTATTCCAATATTTGACCACCCTGACAGTTAGGAATTTTTTCCTAATGTCCAATCTAAACTTCCCCTGCTGCACTTTAAGCCCATTACTCCTTGTCCTGTCCTCAGAAACCAAGAGGAACAAATTTTCTCCTTCCTCCTTGTGACACCCTTTTAGATATTTGAAAACCGCTATCATGTCCCCCCTTAATCTTCTTTTTTCCAAACTAAACAAGCCCAGTTCATGAAGCCTGGCTTCATAGGTCATGTTCTCTAAACCTTTAATTATTCTTGTTGCTCTTCTCTGTACCCTTTCCAATTTCTCCACATCTTTCTTGAAATGTGGCACCCAGAACTGGACACAGTACTCATTTGAGGCCTAACTAGTGCAGAGTAGAGCGGCAGAATGACTTCATGAGTTTTGCTTACCACACACCTGTTGATACAACCTAGAATCATATTTGCTTTTTTTGCAACAGCATCACACTGTTGACTCATATTCAACTTGTGGTCCACTATGACCCCTAGATCCCTTTCTGCCATGCTCCTTCCTAGACAGTCGCTTCCCATCTTGTATGTATGGAACTGATTGTTCCTTCCTAAGTGGAGCACTTTGCATTTCTCTTTATTAAACCTCATCCTGTTATCATACAGTGTCACAAAGAAAAAACAGTTTCTCGCCATTTCAACCAGACTGGGCATTGTCTCAATGACCTCACTACATGCATCCTACTTCAAAGACGCTTTAACACAAGACTACAAAGGGAAGGCTCAGAACTGTCATTCATGCTTAAATTTGACACTTTGTCATGGGGTCTCAACAAAGATGCTAATTACCTTACCTATTACAAAGATAGCTTCCCCAATTATCACCTCTAATATCATTAGCTCACAGACATTAACCTCCTCCTCACCCCTCCAATCTCCCCTCTGTTCTGAAATTTGATTTGTCCTTTTTATATGTGTTCACTTTTTTTGATTGTATCCCTTTGGTATATATGCTCATGCCAATTTTCTTCTACAATTTGATCTGAGAAAGAGGGTCTGGCCCACGAAAGCTCATCACCTAATAAACCATCTTGTTAGTCTTTAAAGTGCTGCATAATCCTGTCTTTTGTTACTACCCCTCTGATACTATTTGCCAAGGAGCAAAACTATCATTGCAAGGAGGAGAGTGCAACTCAAGGAACCAGGGCAGCGAAGAAAACATATATATGCTTCGCGTCCTCTGCTCTGTCCCTTTTCTCCCTTTTAAACACAGCTGTAAAATGTAGCCAGCGGAAATTGACACGTCCTGTGGGCAGGGCGAAGGGCGGGGTTTCCGCAGAGCTACTAGCATGCTCAGCGCCCCGCAGGGAGCGGTTCTGTGCAAACCTCTGAGATCCCATCCGCTCCTCTCCCCCAAGGGCTTCAGAAATCGGACCTGTCCCTCCCCCTCTTCCCTCCCCTAGGGCCTGGCCATCGCAGGGGGGCCCGTAGTTCCCGGCCGCCGCGCAACACTATAAATAGCTGAAGCCTCTTTGAATTTCGCGCGCAGGGATGCCGCCTCCCCGCGCAGCGGTAGAGGGCTGGAGCGGAGCCATCGCTTCGGCCGGGCCGCTTCGGGGGCTGCTGCCCTCGGCCCCGCGGCTTTGCGCTGGGGCGCGGCGGCGCCCATGGAGGGAGCGGTGAGCGCAGCGCGACAGAGCCCCGGGGTGGGGGAGGAGAGATTTACTGGGAGGGGACTCACGGGGGGGGG